AGAAAATTAGATTTAGGATTCTGGTATAAAAAGAAGGATAGTTTAGTAAGAGGAAATTGATAATTTAATTTAGTTAAAAATTTTTTTATTAAGAAACCATCTTGTGATAGTTTCCTAGACTAGCTTGGTATAGCTTTCCGGTACAGGCAATAGCTTTAACTAGTGAGGCAGACTGCACTTGGGCACTCTTAGGGGCAGCCGAGTGATGTCAGATCTGTAACTTAGATAGTTTAATTATACTTTGTATATATGCTTTGATCTAATAAAGATACTGGCAAAGCTGCTGATATATGCAAAAAAAAAAAACATATAATTTTTTTAACAATTATTTATATCAAATCTTTTCTACAAATAATTTGCATTTCTGTAAAATTTTATTAAATAAACCTCAGTTGGTTGTTTAAATAAACTTGTTTTATACAAGATTTTATATATAGATAGCTTTTTATTATATCTCTTTAGTCTCTCTATAAAAAAATATAGCATATCTGTTTAAATTTTTACTTTTTCAAAAAACTCATAATTTTATTAAGTTAATACTACTTTATACAAAAAGATAGAGCTCATTCAGAGCTTTATTTTGATATATAATATGTAATAAACAGACTTAAATTCAAGGTTTTATTTAAAAAAATGTACAAACTCTCTTATAAAAATTTTTTGTTTTTTTTTGCAAAAATTCTGCTTTTTTTTTTTGAAGAGTTCTAGCTCTCTAGCTATCCAAATTTTTTTTTTTTTAAATATTAAGGTGATCACTTTGGGGTTTGGCACGGTTTATTAACTTCTTAGTTCAATTATCAGGATACCAAATAGGCACTACTTGACTTTGTTATATTAACGAGAATATAATTGTCATACGTACAACTTTAGTCATTGTCTAATTAAGAGCTCTGCTATATCTATTTCTATCTATAGTTACCTACTAATTACTATATCTATAAACTATCCAAATTTACAGATCCCTATTACAAATTAATATTACTAATTAATTTACACAAAATATTATTTGTTTTATCTAGTTTTATCTCTAATTTTAAATTTACTATTTTTGTTCTAATAATTTTATACAACTTTTATTACACTATCATTATATCATATCATGTTATACCAGATTACACAAGTATACTAGTCTTACCAGCCACAAAATTTTTATTCTATTATTATACAAGATTACACAAAATTATACTTACTAGCTACATCAATCGCAATTTAATTTAATTCTTATTTTTATTCTAACCCCTAAAAACAACTTTGTTAAAATTCAATAACAATAAATTTTTTCTAATAAAACTTATAACTACTCTATTAATACTATATACAAAATGTTAAATACAACAACTACACATAATACTACTACTTTTATATCAAAATTTAACTGATTTAAAAACTTTCTATCTGGTAAAAAACATATAAATCTTTTACCACTTGTATAACAAAATATTATCTTTTTATCGATTTACTTAAAAAACTTCTATCTTGGCCAAACATATAAAGTAATAACTAAAAATAAAGATCTGAAAAAGAACAATTTTAACAATATTCTTAAGAAAATAACAAGACAACAACCAGAATTCTTAGTAAATCTTATAATAGAAAAATATTCACATTTATCTCACAACCTCCTTTTTTTTTAATAATATGCTAGAAACTTTTAAAAACCTTTTATCTAAACTTACAACTTTCTTCTTCACTATAGATATAGATTACAAAAAATTTTTACAATCTCAATATTTTTCAAATATTTATTCTATTAAATATCAATTTTAAATCACTATTAATCTAGCTTATTTGTATCTATTTCTCAACTATCAATACCAAATAATTAATAACAAAAAGTTTTTTACAGATCTTGAGCTCAAATCTATTAACCCAATACTTAATTTTAATATAATACAAGACCAAACAGACCTATCACCTTTTAAAATAGTCAACAATAATGAATAAATAATTATTTACTTGAACTTATTAGCACAACAATTTAATCAAGATTTTTGTATACCATCTTTTAAAAAAACCTACCAGCCAATTTTTGACTTATAGTTCACCAAATACTACAAAAAATATTAAACAAATTATAACAATTTAAATAAAAAACAATTGTATAACTATATTAAGTTTAAAATTATTTACTGATATACTGAAGAATACAAAAAACTTCTACTACTACAATTTTAACTTTCTAGTAATATCACATCTATTAAACAATATATTCTGCTATCTACTAAGGCTGCTTTCTTTCACATTTATACATATATACCAAAAAAATGCTATCTATCAAATGATCTTTAACACAACTTTTACAATATAACTATATATTTTTTTAATCTTTCTTTTTCAATTTCATCAATGCTTAAATATCCTACTCTTAATTCATCAATTTTTTACCTAACCAACATCTTTATGCTGATATTAACCAACTTATTTATCTTAAAAAACTTTACTATCAGACACAAAAAATAAAAAAACAACTTCTACAAATAAACAATCTCTCTACATCAAGCTCTAAATGCACTTTTCAATTCTTTTACTGATTATTCAAACTATATTTAATAATAACTATAAAAAACTCTAAAATTAATAATCCAAATCTTGATTACTTTTTGAAAAACTCTATATCAAACTCTATAAATGAACACACACTAGCAAGAATTATTCTTTATTTCAAAATTTAAGAAATTCTATACTAATATTTAAACAAACCAAACAACTATACCCCAACAAATTATTTTTCTTGCAGAAAAAAATTTATATTAAAAGTTTAAGATTCATACATTACAAATTTTAACTAAATTAATTTTCAAATCTTCATCATCTATTTTATTATACAAAAACTCTACTCAACCTCTATAACAATACAAACAACAACTAGCCAATACAGAAACATTATTTCTTTATTCAAATAATTTCTTTCAATCAATTCATAAAGATATCAATACAATTAATGCTCTATTATTTAAAGGTAGACAATACTATAGATCATTTTTATATAATAAAGATCTTATACAGATAAAAAAAATATGCTACTAATAAAAATTTTTGAAAATTCAATTAATTTTTATTAAAATTTTATAATTTTATAGTTTAAAACATGCTCTTTCTAATGATATAAATTTTAATAACCAAATTATTTTAATAAATTATACTTGTATATATCATGAAATTGCTATGGTGAGCTTAAATTTGCTAAGATTACACAAAATCATTAATTTTGACTAGTTATATTATAAGATCATTATATGATTTTTGTAAACAAAAAAACACTACTTAATCTTTAAATGCATATTTTTCAGCAACCAATTTTAATAATTTTATTATCAATAGAATCTTCTACAAATTTTATTATAGATTTTAAAATAACTTATTTAATAAAATTTTTTTTAATTATAAAAAGAAAAAATTTTTGCCATTATGATCATATGAAAATTGATTTACATATTCTTTACCTTTAATCCATCAAATAATAGCTCTACTTAACTTTTATAACAACAAGAAAAAAATCAAATCCAGAAACAGAATTATCTTCTATCAATATTCCTCAAATCCACTTATTTAATCTTTTTGAATAAAAACTTATCCTTTAAACATAACTTTATACTATCTACAAATAGCAATAGACCTAATAATCTATATCTCTATATTAACTTATTAGATAATTGCTTAACAAATTTATTTTTTATATTGAATTTGTAGTTTTTTTCATCTTTTTATTTTTTAATTTATTATGCTATATATCTTTTAATAGTTGTTAAAGAATAATTTTTTTATATTACAAACTAAAGCCCAAACTCTAATCTAGCAAAAGATAAATAAGGTGTTAGTATTATTTGATTTTACAAAAGCTTAATTTTAAGAAGAGGTATATATAATAAATAAAAATTTAGTTTCTTTATTTTTGTAAATAAAATCTTTATTTTTGTTGATAAATTACTTCTATATATATAACTTATTAGCAATCTTCTATCTATATTAGTAACAATATTCAATTTTGATAAATTTGTTAATTTCTTTTAAATATTTTATAACTTATACTAAAATAGTAATAGTAGGTAGCTTGGTGACTTAGCTCATATGAAATTATATATAAACTCAAATTATTGTAAATATGTAATTATATCATTTTGTTAATTCTTATATCTTGAATATATATATCCAAATCTAGATGTATATACCAAAAAATCATGAATATATTCAGGTTAGAGCAAATTCACTTTGATTAGAGCAAAAACAACCTATAGATAAAAAATATATATAAACACTTTAAATTTAATAAAGATCAAAATTTCAGATCTACTATCAATTACCAATAAATAATAAAAATATATCTACTTATCTGAAGTTTTTCTTGTAAAGTATTCTTTAAATTTGACTTGTAACTTTAATAAACCTTTCAAAACTTAATTCGATAGACTGAATTAACTTGTAACTTTGATTTAGATTATTAAGACTCGAATTCTAGAATATATATAGAATCAAATATTGTTTTTTATCTTGGTAATTTATAAGAATTGTAGTAGTGATAATATTTATAATTAGTTATTAGATCTCATTAATTTATCACATTATCTTTAATATCACTTAATCATCATTCGCTTTTGTCTTATTATCACTTCTAAGATTATCATCCCTAATAGGATATTCTTAAAATTATCATTGTTCTTAATATCATCCCTTGATCATTAATATTCATGGCATTACCCATCATTATATTACTCCCTTATCATCTTCTGTCAATATTAAGTATTTGTTATAGCATCTTATTGTCTCTTTTGTTTAGTACAAATATAAAAAACCTTTGCTTCTCCAGTTGTTTTCATCTCTCTGTATACTATTGGAATTGAATTGGGTATTTATCCTGTAATATTTTATTAAGCTCTTCTATTAATAGTTACACTATTCAATGAGACCTAATTCACGAAGATACTCTGAAATAACTATATATAATACTAAACATACCTTAGTACAATCTAGTTCTCTTTGCATAATTCTTTCTTGAGTTGATTTTATGCTTGTTGTTTGATAAAATTATTCAGATCTTCTCTATGAAAGAATTCTATATATTTTTCATGCTGTTCTTGCACTTCGATTGCAAAGTCATATTCTGGGTAATAAATATCAAGTTCTAATTCTTTAGGGTGTTCAGGAATTTTCAAAAAATCTGGTCTGTGATTTTTAGATATAATAATAGAAACAATAGCAAAGGACTATAACGATCAAAATGTATAAAAAGCCTCATGTATTACTCTTGTAAAAGGCAGTTCGAAACAACTCAATAATAATAAAGGAGTAATCGTGTCTTCATACACGAAC